GTAGAATGACCTGATTGGAAACCTGACTGATACTTATATATAAGAGAATTCTCTAAAAGGTAATTATGTAAATGTTTAGCAACTAATCTTTCAAAAACCTTACCAATAGTACTTAGCAATGCAATAGGTCTATAATTTGAGGGGTCTTGTTTATCTCCTTTTTTAAAAATTGGCATCACTAGAGCAAGCTTCCATTGTCTGGGGAAAGATCAAGTCTCCAAAGAAGAACGAAAGATTAAAAGATAGCGGATAAGCAACTGAATTAGCAGTGCTCTTTAACATATTATGACTAATTGTATCATTTCCTACAGCTTTACCAATTTTTAAAGTTCTGAGTATGTCAATAATGTCATTAATATTAAAGGGTATGTCTGAGATAGTCGAGTCTGTTCTGGATTCTATAACAGGTACATCAGTGTCAGTATCGTCGATAGTAGAAATAGAAGCAAAGTAGTCATTAAGTATGTTAGTCTTTATGTCGTCATCCATTTCTATGTTTCCAGTCGCACTCCGTAATGGCGGTATACTACCAGACGTTTGAGATGATTTTATTAATCTGCGGACAAGTTTCCAAAAAATTCTGGGATTTGTATCACTAAAAGTGTCTAAAAGCCCGTTAATGTCCGCGCAAAATAATTCTTTTGTCCTTTTTTTAAGATTGTTAACGCTATTTCGCTGTTTCCTAAAGTTGTTCAAATTATGTGGAGTGCGATTGGATTTAATTAGTTAGTTAATTTTCAAAAGTAACAAAAGACACGAGCTTTAGCGAGTGTCTTTCTGTAACTTTTGAAAATTAACTAACGAGAGTGAAATAAATACCATACTCGCGATCGACAACCACGAATCGTGTGATCTGTTTCTACCACAATCTCATGATCAGTCGGAAATAACATACATGCATGTGTTTGTTGTCAAGGCTGGCGTAGTGATATGACCCATATGTAAAAAGTCACTCATAAATATTCAAAAATGACTTTCTTTTTTTACAAATTTAATAATTGTCAAAATTAATGTTTCGGCAACAACTTCATGAAAAAATATAATAGATGAACGACTTTAAATATTGAGAGTAGCAGTATTGCATTAATTTATATAAATTAACCACGGACTATATGCGCGTAAGCATATCGATCGTACGAAGTCTGCCTCCCGCAGTGATGAAGACGAACTTATCTCTGTCAATGTCCAAAACCATAGGACTACGTTTCTTCGTGACGGTTCTATGGTTGACGTTTATAGTGACAGTTCAGCCATAGTCAGACCGTCCCAATACGGATAACGGGACGTTGGGAGAGCGAAATATTTTCCGACTCTGTGACAGATCTTGTTTTGGTTTCACGACCTGGACACGCGACAGTGTGACGTCTAAACGATATCGAGCGTCTGTAGCAATTTTGCCTGAAACTAGCGATCAAATCTTTAAGTCTTTAAGTATCACATTTGTTCACACCCTTGCACGTTTTCTTCTCTATACCCCCAAAATTTACGCCGTACATTTTTGGCTTGAGACCGACAAACTCTTCCATGACAGCTTTACCACACTCATCTTTCATTTTCCCCAAGACCTTGGAGTTTTTGGTGCTATACAGTGTGTTGTCCCTTGGGAAATTACTAGTATCAAAAAGGTCAAGATTTTCCATCATATCATTGTACCAGTTTTCAGTTTCTACTGAGTATATGAATGGGTCAGTGTCTGTGTATGCTACTCGCGCCCTTGACCCATATTTCTTCCTCATTAAATCATAATGAAACTGATACATGCACATGAATATTTTTGAAACTTCAAGGATGGAGAATCCAGTATAGATAGGACAATTCAGGACTATATATATATAGCTAACCTGTGTATACACCTGGGCTGACAGCGAGCTGATGGCGCTCTTCAGGTAAAGAGACGCTCGACTGCTTTTCGCTGTTTTTCACAAATAATGATGTGTGAATATCTTCAGTAGCGAGTGTGTATGTATATACGTCTACACAGCTGGAGAGTTAAACTTCAACTGATAACGCTTTTGTAAGTAAAGGTGTCTAATATCTACAGGAATGTGTGAATAGATCTATCTAAAGGAGTGATGCAAGCCTGGACATGTCATCTTCATTGTAGATGTATTTACATAGAAAACAAAACCACACCGGCCTAAAAATAACCGGGTCCTCACTTAGATACCTCACGTCAGTGGGGGATCCCTATATATACCTATGGGAGGGACCCTATATTTACTGGAAAACCCCACACCGGCCTAAAAATAGCATGGTCCCTCATCCGTCACTGGTCCCTCACTGTTTACTATAGATAAAGAAGAAGGGACGGGGTGCTGCAGAACCCCCATTTCCTATTCATCACACTCGGCATTGATTCCCTACAGGCTTTCAATAATAAAGGGACGTGTTCATAATCCCATGCTTAGTATACTCTGCAATTCTACACGAACTCATCTCCAAACGTGCACCTTATTTGAAGAAGAAAAAGTAACCAATATGTTTTGGGAAAATACCCAAATATACCCTGCCTCAAGCACACATACACACATGTACGCACGCAATTAAACATATGTAAGGACACACAACACACATGTACCCACACACAACACACGTGTACCCACACACAACAAACATGTACGCACACACAACACACATGTACGCACACACGTACACACATGTACTCACACAATCAAACATATGTACGCACACACACCACACATGTACGCACACACATACATGTATGGACGACCTTAAATGACCTAGATGTTGATAGGACGTTAACCCTCTGATAACCAACCAACCAACCAACCAACCAACCAATCGTTAATTGAGAACTACATCGCTGGTACATTAAACAATTTATTAAATACCGTACTATCAAACGGATTTGTAAAACTATCCTTCCTCACGAAATGACCATTTTTCTATATGAACTGTCATTATACATATTTTGATATTTAAAAACAACAATTTTAGAGTGGTTTAGAACTAGCTTTTCTGATCACGAACGAATGTGGTCGTCCAACCACTATTTAAAGGTAAAAATATAAGTGAGTCTGATGAAAATGAATGCTCATTTTCTCATCCACCGCTCAAATACTCTCATGAGTTGATCTGTCGATGCTTTACTTTAAGTTGTTATGGAAATCAGCAAACCGTTTCATGTCCTCAAAATTTTAAAATCACATCCGAGCGATTGACAAGGCGTTTCTTGATAAGTGCAAGTAAGAAAACCAAAACTAACAAACAAGAGCCAACAAATCGTGTATATAGTCTATTGATTTTGCAAGGGAGCACAAAATCAACGCTGCTCATTTGAAAATCTTGTAAGACTTTGCACTCAATTACCTTTGAGGTTTTCTCATACTAAAATTAGAACATGGCTGTAATGGATTTTTAGCCAAAATGCCATTGTTGACCTAGACGAAAATTGTACAGTATAGTATCGTCAAGAATACTTGCTTTTCATTTATCAAACTAAATATAAAGACATCCACCATTTATTCAGCTACATGTGTATATAATTTATTTTATCTTATCTGAAGTATGGAAAAATGATCAACTTACTACATATATATATGTATCAACATAGGCGAACGTGACGATTTGTATTCTACGATAGTTCAATATATTTTTCTCGCTATGTGGGGTTTATGACGTATTAAAACAATCTACACCAATCATCACAACGTTTGGATGTCTCAACGTTTCAGGATGCTTAACGATTTCGAGATCCGTTTAGTATCAATGGGCGCAGTGGTACATTAACATTTGTTTCCGTCTAAAAACGTTTTGTTAAGATTTTGTTAAAGATAAAAACATGCGAGGAAGAGTATATGAGGTTCTGGCGCTGACATTATACATGTAGTATTTGTTTTCTTTCTTTCGATACACTAGTTCCATGGTTTTCCGGATATTCCCAGGTATGCCTTCACTATTAGAAGTTATCAGTCTGTAATATTGGCATTATACATTTTTTGCCATTACCGTAGGGAAACACGATTATTTGTTTCTCGGAGGTCAATCATGTTTCACTCGGGAAACATGATTAATCGAGGAGAAACAAAGAATCGTGATTCCCCACTGCAAGGACAATAACTACTTAATTATGCCGGAAAACACATACAATAACATGATCAGGTTGACGCGCCATCGTTGTCGTCTGCTTCCGTCATTAGGATTAGGTATTGGTGGCTCTTGCCGATTTTTCTAGAAAGGCTCCGAATAAGACAGATATATGATCGGGGAAACTGGAGTGCGAGAGGGCGACTTGATGATTTGTTGCCCCGTCATGTGACCAGTATGATCCAATCAGACAAGCTGTTATATAGATGAGGTATAACAATAGAATTGTCCAATAATTACAATTATCAGTGCTTTATCAGGAAATAAGTTTAAAATAATTTTATTGTAACGAAAGAAAAATGGATTGGACAACAAGCGTAACAAATTAATATATGTACAAAATTAATGTGTCACGCAATAGCCTAAAAAGGTTTTTTTAATACATATATATATAAGAACATTTTAATATCAGGAAATATCATCATAATCAAATTAAATATGAAAACGTATTGTCGTAATGTTTTCATCAAATGAGCAAATAAGAATTTCAATATTGTTATTTATGTGACTTGGATTTCGATATATACTGGGATCAATTACATTGTAAAACCTCAGCCTCCTCATTTTGTTTTATTTTGTGAGTCTTATTGATATTTTGAATGTTGCTGACATTGTATCTTTATCAGAAACTGTTTATACTGTCACCATTATGCTTTTGTTATATCTTGTTTTTATGCTGACGCCATTATTACCTTATCAAATATTGTTAAAACTTGTCGCCATAGAAACCTTATTACATGTGGTTTGTTCGATTTCCTTTACGGACGTGAAGTGGCACTAATTGGCCGACTATTCCAATTTTCGCCGAGCGCTCCGGTTTTGCTTTCATAATACATGTACTAGTAAACGACACTGCTTGCTGCCATCTGGACAAACAAGGGATAACTAGAATATGATAAATTGGTATATAAGTTTAATTGATAACAAATTGTCTGTAAGCTTGCCGGATCACATTCTGTTTGTATGCTGGCGTCATTGAAACCTTAGCACATACATTTTGTACGTTGGCGCTACTCAGTACCCATCTTTGTGCTGTTTGCAGCTTCAGTTGGATTTTGCTATCTTGCATTATCGGAAGTCAATCACGAATTGATGTCTGCTTATGATTGATATCGTTCGTCAGCTCATATTTAGCTTTTTGTTCCCGAGTATATCGTGTATTACTGATCCCTCGAAGACTAGGCCTCCCCCTCGAACGCCTCCTTTCGTCTTATGATCATGACCCCGTCACGAATGGGCACCATCACCTAACGAAAACACGGAAAGACAAATCAATCAATCAATAAACCAATCAACTGTGTTACGTAACACTAATTTTATTGATCATTACTGACGGTACCTAGTTAACTACCAGTGATTAGACCAGTTGGTCGATGTTGTTTGTCACCGACAAGTACAGATCGAAAAACTCCTTAAACCAAGGACTTAGGGAGAATTATGGGAACCGAACTGTATTATTCATATATAGGCTGCGACCCGAATTTATTGATCATTACTGACGGTACCTAGTTAATAACCAGTGATTAGACCAGTTGGTCGATGTTGTTTGACACCGACAAGTACAGATCGAAAAACTCCTTAAACCAAGGACTTAGGAAGAATTATGGGAACCGAACTGTAGTATTCATATATCGGCTGCGAACAATCCTCGATATCCAGGGGTTACGCTCACTTCCGCTGTGTATAGAGCGGAAGTGAGCGTAACCCCTGGATATCGAGGATGGTTGTGACCATACTGCGTTCCAGGTTGAATAAACATAAAACATAAATGCTGGTCTCAACGGTAAGTATGGAATATGTAAATAATTCTTATCTAGTGATACAATTCTTTATGTTCAGACTGGCGTAAACAGAGAATAGTAATGGATCATAGTGTAACCATTAATGACGTGAAATATGTTTCAAATGCATCGTCCATACGTCGGATGTGTTGCTGCTGCGATGAAATTAATATATACGTAATTCTATAAAACACAGTACAGGTATACACGTTTTGTGTTTAACCCTATAGAAATTAGGTCTCCTCTGACGACACATACAACTTGTGAGGCTAGAACATTACAGCTTGACATTGTATCAAAAATTATCAACGTTTATTCCTATATGCACCGTTTGTAAAACTGTTTCTTTCAAACAAAAAGCATTATTGAATTCCGAGATGTGACGTAACTATACCTGGGAGACTCTATTATCTTGGTTGACATAGTCGTTAAAATCTCGCATCACGGTCCCCGCATAGGTGCGACCTTTAGGAAGCTGAAGCTTGTCCTTGGGTAGATAGGACTGACCCCCGAATAGGGCATTGTCTATCAGTATGGTACCCCGGGGAGTCAGCATGTCGTTGTCCATGATTATCTATAGAAAAAAATATGTCTCAAAATTTTACGATGAGTGAAAATGGCACCACATGTGTAAAATGTTCCCCACAGATCGCACATTCTATTCATTTAAATCTTGTTGATAATAATTATAGTTGAAGGTTCTTATATACCGCTTTATCACAATCTAGGTCGTAGGTCTTAATTATTACCCGTAGTTATCGGGCCTTTGCAACCAGCCAATATCTTTCTCAACTCCCTGAGGAGCATACAGCCGGTGCTGACATGTAGGCGCTCACAGCTAGCATTTGACAATTCTAGCACTGCCCAACCACGTACTCATTTACAGCTAAGTAGACTGGCGGAGTACGTATTTTGTTCAAAGATACAACAGAGTGCATTGACGCTGAACGGAACCGGTGTCCTACTTGACGTTTTAATTCGAGTGCCAGTATGAAAAATGACCCTAAGTAAGTATTATTATATTCGCTTGTTTACAACTTAAATTGGACATTGAGAAGTAAATAAATTAAAACCTCTCCAATTTTGAAAGCTTCTTACTGGTCACGTGCCTTATTACAGTACTGCATGTTGTCAGGTGTCTTGTCGATAAAACCATGTCTTACTGGTCACGTGCCTAATTACAGTATTGCACGTTGTCAGGCCTCTTGTCAATAATACCGCGTCTTACTTGTCACGTGCCTAATTACAGGATTGCACGTTGTCAGGCCTCTTGTCAATAATACCGCGTCTTACTTGTCACGTGCCTAATTACAGTATTGCACGTTGCCAGGCCTCTTGTCAACAATACCGAGTCGTACTTGTCACGTGCCTAATTACAGTATTGCACGTTGTCAGGCCTCTTGTCAATAATACCGAGTCGTACTTGTCACGTGCATCGCATAACTGCATGTTGTCTGGCCTCTTGTCAATAATGCATGGTAACGTTCAAAGCAGTATTGCATGCTATCAAGCGTCCTGTCATCCCGTGTATTACTTGGCACGTGCCTTACAGTACTGCACGTTGCCAGGCGTCTTGTCAATAACACCATGTCTTACTGGTCAGGTGTTTAATTACAGTACTGCACGTTGTCAGGCGTCTTGTCAATACCACCAAGTCTTACTGGTCATGTGCCTTACAATATTGCGTATTGTCAGGCGTCTTTTCAATAACACTATGTATGACTGGTGAAGTGTCTTATTACAGTACTGCACGTGGTCAGGCGTCTTGTCAATAACACCACGTCTTACTGGTCACGTGCCTTACAGTAGTACATGTTGTCAGGCGTCTTGTCCATAACACCATGTCTTACTGGTCGAGTGCCTTACAGTTGTGCATGTTGTCAGGCGTCTTGTCCATAACACCATGTCTTACTGGTCACGTGCCTTACAGTAGTGCATGTTGTCCGGCGTCTTGTCAATAACACCATGTCTTTCTGGTCACGTGCCTTACAGTAGTGCATGTTGTCCGGCGTCTTGTCAATAACACCATGTCTTACTGGTCGAGTGCCTTACAGTAGTGCATGTTGTCAGGCGTCTTGTCCATAACACCATGTCTTACTGGTCACGTGCCTTACAGTACTGCACGTTGCCAGGCGTCTTGTAGTCAATGACAATGACTAAGTGTACATGTACCTTGTAATAGTGTATGTAACCTTCTTTGTTGGCGTCAATGAAGACCATGTCGAACTGTTGTTTTTCTTTAGCCAGCTGTTGGATGCTATCTGCAGCTGGACCTGTTAAATTACAAGAATTACTCAAACAAGTTATCTAGATTGATCATCATCTCCAGATAATTGTGCATATTGGATATTACCATATGTTTTTAAACCTATCACTTCTTTGCTTACATATAAAATCTTGTATTTTTGATGATGAACTACTGCGAATTTTCGGCTTTGGTTTTATAAATCAAAAATATTAAATACTTCAGCATGTAGTTTTATTAATGATAATAGGCAGGTCATCATTAAAATATACGTTATCATTTTGCATTTTTAAGTAATATAAGTTTGCCTAAAATTGGCGAATCATTAAAAAATAACGTACATTGACAACAAAATATATATTTCCTATTAAAATGTTCTGATCTTTCATGAAATATCATGAGCATGTTTTAAAATATATATGTTAAAACAATATCAATAGTTTCAGACTTAGTTTGGGCCAATAATAAGCAGTTGATATTATTCAATTATAACCTTTGGCTGAGGTCGATAACTGGATTTATCGACCCGAGAAAAGATATATTGACCGAGGACGCAGTCCGAGGCCGAGGTTAATATATCTTTTCTCGGGTCGATAAATCCAGTTATTACTTTTTCATATTATTCCCGACAAGTGATTGGTCAGGAGTGCATCACGTGTCCACCGATAAAAACCGATATTGACTTGAAGCGCGTGATTTTTGTTGAAGGACTGGGTGTTTCTTAAAATAGAATTATGACGTGTCTCCAAACAATGCACCGTCCCACTTCCGAAGTCTTTTTGTTTGAGATTGCTTACATTACTGTTTTTTAAAATAATAAAACAATTGTAGCCTTTAACTTCGGTTAATACCTGGATTTATCGACCCGGGAAAAGAAATATTGACCTCGGACTGCGTCCTCGGTTAATATATCTTTTCTCGGGTCGATAAGTCCAGGTATCGCCCTCAGTGATTGGTCATCACGTGTCCACCAATAAAAACCGATGTTGACTTGGAGCGCGTGACTTTTGTTGAAGGACTGTGTGTTTCTAAAAATAGAATTATTAGAAAAAAAGAGAAAATATAAATTTTGTCAAAAACCGTTATTTTACTTACTCGACTACCTTGATTTAAATATTGTAAATGTATGGCTGTGGATGTTTATGTTGACTGTATATGTTGAGGCAAGGTAAAACCTGCGATCCCTTGATTTGAAAGGGTAAAATGTTCGAAAATTATCAATACGTAACACTATTGATTCATTTTACTGTTTGTGCTGTGTATCAATTTAAGTGCATTACAACAAGGGAGGCTTGGCAGTAATGATAAACAATACCAAGAATGATCGTGGAACCAATGATTCATTACTTTCCTCCCACAATTACTGAAGGTTTCCTCGTTCATGACTCATTGGAAAAACCTGGGTAACACCTTGGACGTGATTCCATTGGTCAACCTTTGATTGATGACGTCTCGTAACAATGCTTTTCGACGTCATTTTCCTTGGTGACGTTATGCGCCAGGGCAATTATTTCCCCTTTCGGAAACACACATGATGCATTTTCCAAGGGTATATGTGGATTTTCAGATAAAATACGAACGTTATGGGAAAATCAGGTCCCCAAACTCGTGATGATTAGTTATCACGTTTATCTAACTCTTGTTAGTTAATTTTCAAATTGCAAAAACAGTCGGTAAACCTCATGTCTTTATACAATTTGAAGATTAACTCACTCGAGTTAAATAAACATGATAACCAACCACCACTCATTGGGGAACCTCTATATATTAAACGACAGTCATCTGCTCACCAATCATTATGTCGATTTTCTTTCCGTGTGATGATTGGTCAACTAGTTTCCTTGCTAAATCTCCAACATATCCTGTTAACTCTAAGGTGACAACTTTCCCGTCAGCCGGAAGCGCTTCCGCCATGGCAAGTGCGCCACATCCGGTAAAAAGACCGACTTCGAGGACTCGCTTGGCGTTAGACATGGCAGCGAGCATTTTTAGGAACGTACCTGGAATTTATTTCAAGAAGACAAAATAGCATTGCAATTTTGGTTGAGGTAGTGATATTTAACAGACATTGATGGGATTAGAAAACCAAACCTCGATTGTCCCTTCTGCATTACCAGGGAGTATTAATCAATTTCAAAGTATTCACTGAGAACGACAGCTTGTTTTATAAGAGATAAGAATCAAAAGTGAAAATGTTATATACCCTCCAGTGCACCAGACAGCATTCCAGGCGAGACCCTCCATTCTATCTTGCCTTCCTCGTGTACCTGCTGCCATGGGTGTTTCTCCGTTTCTGTGATGAGGTTTTCAATCGCGTCACTGGTGGGACTGGAGATTGATTCACAGTAATCATCCTTTGCCTATATACATTTTTTTTGTATATGTAATGAAAATACAAAGATAATACATTAATAACATTATGCGATTATGGACTTCAGGCGAGGTCTATCTCTGATTAACGCACCTGATCTGAACAATATTCACCGAGGCCTAAGGCCGAGGTGAATATTATTCAGACCATGTCCGTAAATCAGGGATAGACCGAAACTGAAATCCACAATTATTTCATTATACGACATTTTACAATGAAATTAATAGTTTTTCATGTCATAAACACATGGACGGCATGGATCATTTTGGAATCACCGATTGAAGACTTCCAATACAAAATAACATACATAATTTCGGATTCAATTTATGTGATATTTAATTTCAAGTCAACATCATTTGCACAATCGATACCAAAAGCATCACATAATTCAGAATTTGATGAGATAATTGATTTGTAGTCGAACTCTGTAGTATGATTTGTACCAGATTGACAGACTGACTGGGAAATTACCTACGCCTATTTTTAGTAGCGGTCTGTAACATTTTTCTTTTTATAGGTCGAGGTCTGTAACACTTCTGTGTCAGGTCTGTGACAGATTTACAGACTGGTCACATGACGTCTCCCCTCCAAACAGGGGTGCTAATTAGCACCAGTCATATGATAATAAGATAATAATGAATCGTTTATACTTAAAGCATGGTAAGCGTTTTTGGGCATACCACTATGATTTTAATAGTTTGAAACAAAACTTGATCTTTTTGAAATATACTTTCCATAAGAAAATTTGTTTTTGTACGTTACAGTTGGTGACAAAAGACAGATAATCCAATTCATCTTTATCTACAAATCACATTAAGCGGATTTGCATGCCTTAATATCAATTTTGTCCCACCTGTTCATGCAAGAATGTACACTACAAGTGTTCATATAGGAAATCAATAAGAGATAACCATATTCCACATATGTGCATCCGGTGAGTTACATTTTGTTTTTCAAAAATCCTATTTGAGAGTGCATAACTAATTATCTTTTAATTTCAAAATGTACCCTATCGCCTAACGTCATGAAAATCGAGTCATTTAAATGTGTTACCAGACGTCATAAAATCGTCATTTGTATTAGCGGAAGAATACCTTTATCCAAAGCATAATCGGAAACTGACATCGACTCACTGGAGCAAATATGTATTGAACAAACTTGTTGTGAAGCATGTTGCTTTACGTGTAGTGTTGATGTTTCTCTTCGGCAGTTTGTATGTAATAAATAAAATCTGTCCCTTTCGATTAACTTCAAAGTCCCGGTAAAAAGGTAAGAGAAAAAGATTCTTATGGGAGAATACGAAAATTCTACACGAAGGTGATGCAAAACTGTATATGTACGATATACCTATTTATCTCCGGTATGATTTGCTCAGTTGTATTTTAAAGTATAACCTAACATAAATAAAAAAAAACTTACGGCATGTGATCCAGTCTACAGATAAATGAGCACGCGATGTGTAAGTACTTACAAAGATACAGTCTATGGCAGTCTGTATTTGTATCTGGAGGTCCTCGCTAGCCCCTTGGGTCTTGGCCGACTCCTGTATGTGTAGGAGGTGACGTAGAACCGGATGTCCCCACAAGTTCTGTTGGTTAGCAGTCGACATCTTTGTTTTCGGGTTACGACTCTTGAAACTAAATGAGAAATAAGAAAAATAAAAATATTAATTTTTCATAAACTTCAGACAATAATTTTTTTTTTTTTTTTTTTTTTTTTTTTTTTTTTTTGCAGAAAAAAACTGAAATATTTCTCAATTTTTTATTTCATCTTAGTCTATATATCAACTTAATATTATAGGTCATCTTCGTTTTAGTGCAACCAGGTGCTATCCAAAATTTATCAGGAGCTGTAGTGACCTCAGAATTTGACTATGCTTACCACAAAAATGGCTAGAGTGACCACAGTAAAATAATTATAGTGACCATGTACCTCGGCTAAAGTGACTTCAGTGACCACAGACACTGACCATATTGACCACATACATTGGCAATAGAAACAACAGTAAGTGGTCGTACAAGCCAAAGAATGTTACTATAGTGACCATAGAATTAACTATAATGACCACAGACACTGGCTAAAGTGACCACATGATGTAACTATAGTGACCACAGACACTGGCTCAAATGACCAATGAATGTAACTTTATTGACCACCAACACTGGCTAAAGTGACTACAGAAAATAACTATATTGACCACAGACACTGGCTCAAGTGACCACAAAATGGTATTCTAGTGACCTCAGACACTGGCTAAAGTGACCACAGAATGTTACTATAGTAACCACAGACACTGGGTAAAGTGACCACAGAAAATAACTATAGTGACCACATGACAAATGTTCCTATATTGACCACGGACACCGGCTAAAGTGACCACAGAATGTAACTATATTGACCACAGACACTGGCTAAAGTGACGACAGAATGTAACTATATTGACCACAGACACTGGCTAAAGTGACCACAGAATGTAACTATATTGACCACAGACACTAGCTAAAGTGACCACAGAATGTAACTGTATTGACCACAGACACTGGCTAAAGTGACCACAGAATGTAACTATATTGACCACAGACAGTGGATCTAGTGACACATACATGTAGTGAGCACAAACTTATGCTAAAGTACATGACCACGGAAGTAGTGATTGCCTAAAAAACAAGACCAGTTATGTCCAAGGTGGCGTTATGACTAATATCAAATATATTGTAGGGTGTATCTCATTTCCACTATTTTACACCAATGGCTGACCTGACTTTTCATGTAATTAACAGGAATTAACACACACACTTCCGTTCCGTGAGAGAGGTTCTATATAAAGGAGGGAACCTGTAAAATAAAACAGAATCATATACATAACCTCATCTGAGTGAAAATAGATGTGAGGGAAATATTGATCGACTATTTTTGTATCGTCATTTGCCACTTCCTATTATAAAACTGGGATGATATGGAATATAAGTGATAATGATGTGTCCCACAGGGCGTTCGATATAACAAGTTTGAAATCTATTGGAAGATGTTTATTTTTTTTTTATTTTTTTTTTATTTTTTTTTTTTTAATTTGATTTTTATTTTCATTTTAATGTGCAATATACATCTTCATCAAATTAGCAATTATCATAATCATCATTCATCAAGCATCATCCATCATAAACAATAGCCTCATTACCATCACATCTCACAGACATGCACCATCCTCATCATCATTCTCATCACCTTCATCATCATTTTTTTAATACAAAACAACATCTCATCATATTTCATACAATGCATCATCATCATTATCATCATCATCTCATCATCATCATCATCAAAGCAATATCATTGTATCGTTATAATCATACTGAGAAAAAATACAAATCAACACTGGTCATTACCATAAATACTTGCATCATGTACATGTGATCATCATCCTCACTGTTATTATCAAGAAAACAAGATCACCTTCCACATGTCACATGACTCTCACATCCTGACATCATACACATAAAGTTGAGGAAGCATATGCAGAAAAAAAAAAAAATAAACAATAAATTATCTATTGTATACCTGCAGTGATAAATAAGATCAGATTTACATGAATGTATATTGCACTTTATTGGCTGGACAGACAAATAGCATGTAGAAAGAATTAAAGACGTTTAAAGAAAAGAAAAAGAAAGCGAGAAAAAGAAATAGAAACAAAGTGGAAGAACAGGTTGGGAGGTAGCTATATATAGACAAGACATATAATTTCAGCTTTGCCAAGGGCTGGGAGAAGCCTACTTGATATATGAATAACAATAACACTGGTACTACTAATAATAATTTACAAGTAAAAAAACAGCAAGAGTACTCTATATTATAAATCAATTAACTTTTTCCATTTACGCCATTCTATATCAAATTTTTCCTTCACAGAGTCGCCCTTACCAGTTGCAATATATTTTTGAACTCTATAATTGTCTTTAATTATGTTAATTAATGAATGTATATGTAAAGAATTGTGTAAACACCTCATTCTGTATATGTACTGCTTGATAATAATGATAATTTCATTATCAACCCTGTTGACAGGAGGATGATTAAAAGATAGCAATCCAAAGAGAAAAGATTTTTTGTTTATTGAAAAAGGAATAAGTAATGCCTGTAATAGCATTTCAAAACTTTGTAGTAAATTCTGTACTTCATTACATTCCCACAAAATATGAGTGATAGTTTCTCTTTCAGAATTACATAAAATACAAAAAGGGGAGGTAACCAGGCCAATTTTACAAAGGAAAGAATTTGTTGTCAGGATGTGATGAACCACTCGGAACTGAAACCACTGAAGCTTTGTATTTTTTGTAGCTTGGAAAGGAATTTTGAAAATTTTGGCCCACTCTGTATCAATTATATCATCAAAAATTTGGTTCCATTTCATTTTACCAGTTGGTATTGGATTATTCCTAATCAAATCATTATAAAACATTTTTGAACCTCTGGCATACTTGAAAAAAGGTTGTATATTTACTGGTATAAAGGGGGCAACTATGTTGGATTTTGTTAGATCATAAGCTGAGATAAACCCCTTTATTGAAGATGTGAAGCTGTGGTACTGCAGAAAATTTGTAACAATCTGATATTTAAGTGAAAACTCATTAAGGGTATAAAAAGAACCTGCAGAAGCATCTTTTAAAACATCATATATGTTAACCACGCCTTTCTTATACCAATCCCTGTAAAAAATAGTTTTTCCCCCAATACATATGTTTTTGTTATACCAGATTGGTATTTTCAAGAGTAACTCATCCTTTCCTAAGTTGTCCTTTCGCAAACTGTATTTATACCATGATCTAAAAACATCTCTCCAAAATTGGTTTTTACATTTATTCCTGCATAATTGTATATATTCCCTACCACAATTTGCTAGCAAATCAGTATCAGTATAAGTTTTCAAGATAGTCTGCCATTTCTCAGTAGTTTGGAATAATCTTCTTATCCAACTTAATTTTAAAGAACAAATGAAAGCATCTATATTAATCATCTTTAGTCCTCCATTCACATAGTCTTGAATGATAACATCTCTCTTGATTTTATCTGACCCACCATTCCATAAATATTGGAACAGGATAGAATTCAACTTTTTCAGAAAGTTTTCATTTGGATTTGGAAGTGAAATAAAAAGGTGATTAAACTGTGATACCAGCAGTGATTTAATTATATGAATTCTACCAATAGGTGTTAAAGACCTTCTACTCCAGGTTTTTAGTAATGATTTTAGTTTAATTAGTTTTTTGTCAAAATTCATCTTTGGAATTTCATGAAGATTTACACTAAACTCAATTCCCAAAAGTGTAAATTTGCTTTTACCCCACTGTAACTGGAGATTCGGTAAAAAGGTTTCTTCACTAAACTTTTTATTACCAATCCAAACTACTTGTGTTTTTTCTACATTAATTTTCAATCCAGAAATTTTGGCATACTCATTAAGTTCATCAATTGCTTCTTTCAGAGATTTTTCTGATCCATCCAAGATAAGTGAGGTATCATCTGCATATTGGGATACTAATATTGGACAATTATCAATTTCTATACCTTGAATGTTATCATTATTTCGTAATCTGAGGGCCAAAATTTCAACACAGAGTATAAATAAATATGGGGCGATCGGGTCCCCTTGACGACAACCTCGTTTAATATTAAGAGAAGACGACAGATTACCGCCCTGATTAATGACTGAATAAGCATTTTTATGTAAAGTTTTAACCCAAGATGAGATACCTTTACCAAAACCAAAGAAATTTAAGACTTTATCAATAAAAACCCAAGACACTGAATCAAAAGCTTTCTCAAAATCTAACGTCAATAACATTCCAGGAATATCATTTTCTTCAGTATATTGCATTATATCATATATAAGCCTTGTGTTTACACCTATATATCGCCCAGAAAGAAAACCAGTTTGATCCCTATCTATCAACTTGTCCAAAACAATTCTAATCCTATAAGCTATAGTCCCTGATGCAATTTTGTAAACAATATTTAACAATGATATAGGCCTCCAATTTCTAATAAAATGTCTGGGTTTATCTGCCTTTGGTATACAGGTAATAATTCCCTGCCTTTGAGTTATAGATAATTCCCCCCTATAATAACCATAATTAATTGATCTAACAACAAAATGCCCTAATTTTCTCCAAAAACATTTAAAAAATTCTGTTGTAAACCCATCAGACCCTGGACTTTTTTTATTCTTCATGTGTTTTAATGTTTTACCAGCTTCCTCATAAGTAATTTCCCCCTCTAATTGATCAGAATCAAGCCGAGACAGCTTCGGTACCTCACAGTCACTAAGAAAAAACATTAAGTTTATGTCATGACCATCACATGTAGAATTATACAGTTTCCTATAAAAGTTACTCATTTCCTCCAATATATCTTCCTGTCTCGTCAAAATTTCACCATTATCCTTATTTAGTTTGGGTATAATTTTGGAGGTAAAGTTTCTGTTCTCTAAACTAAAGAAGTAATTAGTCGGTTTTTCTCCCTCCTCCACCCACCTAGCTCTAGAACGAATAATACTCCCCTTAACTTTTTGCAATCTAATGGTTTCTAGTTCTTTGTTCTTATTTTCTAATTCCTCTATATTTACTCCCTCTACCTCTAA